CTTCGGCTATCCCTATTTTTTAAAGGAAAACTCAGTGTAACGTTAATTATATTTCCCTTTGGACCAATAATATTTGTTTAAAATTAAGAACTCAAACAAACAAAACAAAATAAAACAAAACAAAACACATCCTAGTGATAAGGACCTTTTATTTCGGCTTACTTCTCCTGGAATTCAAACAGGAAAAAGCCGGTCGGAAGAACCTCTCTGGAAATGAAGGTGGAGACTGCGCCCAGGTTTGCTCTCTGCGAGCCGAACCTTGGTGAGCCTCCGAGAAGAGAGTCAGCAGGTCACGTCGGAAGGCACCACACTCGCAGTGAATTCATGAGACCTCATCATGAGTCACCTCAGAGTTTTCGGAGAAATAGAGCTTTCAGAACACAAGTTTGAGGCTGCTTACATGTCACTGATAACGCCTTCAAAGCCCAAACCATTTCCCTTGGTAACAGTTCTGTTTCATTCTTTGCCTAGGACGCAGCTTTAGTAACAAGGTACAAAAAAATAATAAGCATGCAGCCCTTTATTAGTTTTGCGATGTCTCTGCTTATAGGTCTGTATATTACATGACTGTGTTATACAAATACAGTTATTTACAAAAACACTCTAGCTGTGCAAACTTGTTACTTTTTAAAAATGTATGGAGAGTCCCATTTCTGCCCATCCCAATATATATTTGTAAAGCATGCATAAAAATTAACTTTGGTGTGGGAAAACTACTCTATGTGCTGCCGCATATAGTGTTTTTATGTCTATTTATATATTTACAAAAGTTTTTCAGTTTACAGAACAGTACAGAAGTGTACACTTTAAAATCCACAATGTACTGTAATAGTGTGGGCTGCCAGGTCTCAGGAAACAAAGGAAGGGGTTAAATACTGCAAAGAAAACAACTAGAGAATCCCAATATGTTTAAAAAAAAGAAGAAGAAAGAAAGAAATGCAAAGAAAACTAGCTTGCTTGGGCTGGCAAATTATTATACATAATTTTCATGGCAGTGCAATTAGTTTGATAAATTGCTTTCTACATATGACCCTGGGTTGGCCTGTTGTCTAGACACTACTTTCAAATGTACAATGCTATAGTATCAAAATGTTTTGGCAAAAAAGATCTCGAAAGGAACCATGAAGTTTTGACAAAAATAGAAATCTGTAATAAAGCTAAATAACACTAAAATAAAAGGAAATATTATAGTATCTCTTTTACAATTTGTATAGTCGCACTTGCGTATTTCTCTGTTCACTTCTAGTCTCCGTAATGAAAAATATTTTTATACAAAACATACTAAAATTCTGGAATCATACATGTTTTACATGCTCAATACGTTTTTTCCTGCCTCACACACATACCCTTCTCTCTCACCATCCTCTCTTTCTGTAACACATGCTTACTTCATTTAACAGGTGTTGAATACAGACAGTTAACACTATGTAATTACAATAGCAACAACTAAAAAATCAAACCAAACCAAACAAGCTTTACTGAAATCTATTAATCCAGTATTTAGCACATACTTAGCATTAAGCCTCAAACAGTACAGCAATATGTTACATTCTCTTGTGAAAACAGTTGTTAAAAGACTGTTACAATTTTTTTTCTAAATTTTTAAATGTAACTCCAACTTGTGCCTGATAGGGTGTGGCCTTTAAGAGGTTTCCTTTGCTGTGGATGGGGTGGCTTTGCTGGAACTTCCATTCTGTGCCTTGTAGCTGGTGAGGCTGGGAGTATGGATGGTCCTGACGCTCCTGGCACCTTGGTTCAGTGAAGTGGGGGAGGCGGGGGAGGGGGGGGAGGAGGAGCAGGAGGGAGGGGCTGCTCGGCCATTGGGAGTCTGCAGTGAGAATGAAAGATGGTGACCTTTACCTGTGTGAGTGGGGCTCTGAAACTTTAAGGAGCCATTAGAGACAGAGGGGATGAGGGAGGCCGAGGAGGCAGATCGTCCTGTTTGGGGGCTGAGAGGGTTAGAAGTAACCGGTGGTTTAGAAGCAGCTGGGTTAGGGAAGTTAGAGCTGTCACCGCTAGAAGAGGGCAGAGCGCCGCTTTTCCCAGAGCTGGGAGAAAGGGCTGGAATCTTAGAAGCAGGTAAGGAGGGGAAAGCAGGCTTACAGTCCCCACCAGCTTTCTTAGCACTTCCATTAGCCTGCAAATAAAGACGGCGGAGACAGTTTGTCAGAAAGTTCGTAACACGATCGTTGTACAGGGTCTGGCAACACAGCCCTTCTGAGGATAATTAAATAAAAGGCATCCAACCCAACCAAACCAGTTCAAGGCCTGAGCTAAGTCTCATTGTGCTGTACGGGACCTGGGAGAAAACCCCGAAGTACAGAGCAGAGGATGCACAAAGGAAGAAAGGAGACCGTGTCTGGGGCCTGGGGCTGGGTCAGCCATGCGTCTGGGTTATTAAGGGGTGAGATGGGACGTGGAGTGTTAATGTGCCTCTAATGCAGTGCAATCAACATAGACGTTAGTGGGGGCGACTTTCAGGACAGTTCAAAGACAGGCTTGTCTGACTCGGTTTCTCAGGGCGTTCTGATGAACCACTACATTCGCCAAAGAAAAGCCAGCCGGTGTGGCAGCTTGTGTTAATGGCTAAACTTGGGACTCACAAAGTAAACGATGTTTTATTGCAGGCATGCAAAAGCGTGGAGAAAAGTTCAACAAACAAAGGTTTTTAGACTTTCTTCATGCCCCAGATCCAGGAAGTCTACACAAACCATAGCTTACAAAGAAAACACAATGTTTGGTATAAACTAAGTCAGCGACTTGCTTCACCACTGTTAAGAGTGTCCATCCAAAACTGGTTTTAAGGTAAAACTACCTGACGATATTGGCGGGGATCCTGCAGTTTGGTCTGCTTGCTGGGCTTGTCCAGGCTTCCGGGTCTAGTCTTGGAGCTCATGGGGACTGGCATCCTGCTGGTCTGTGGGGTCCCTGCCGGGGCCTGTGGGGAAGAGCAGCAAGAGGGGGAAGACAAGGGAAGCACGTGAGCGGATTATCGCCCAGGCCGGCCCACCATGTGCCGAGAAGCTCAATGTGAGAAGCCACAGCCCTACATGCAGAACAGATCTGGGAGACGGACATCAGAAGACACCACTGGGTTAATTCCAAGAATCAAACAGAATAAACTGCTCCACTACTGATCAAACGGATTTTAATGTGAGTATCAGAGCAATCGTTTTAACGGCAAATGGATGACCCGGCATCCTTGCGCTTACCCAACACCAATCAGCAACAGAGGCAAAACCAGAGTCAATTAGCTGTTAGACACCCAGTTGTTGTTGTTTTGAAGGGGAGGGAGAAAGTGTGAGAGAAAAGTATCAAGGCGAACAGACAAAAAAAAAAAAAATAAAACATAATAAATGAGCCACCTGAAAGGAAGCAAGTCAATCACAAGACACCTTTTGCTAGTGGTGATTATGGCAGATTTAGGAAAGCAGCTGGGTCTTTTCATTTTCCATCAGACCAAGATACCTTACGTGAAGCTGAAGGTATTGATGAGGGGGGCTCTAGGGCAGTGGGAACTTCTTCCAGAACTAGCAAGGCTCGGGGAGAGGCCTCCCGGGCTAGGTGGGACGAGCTGGCAACAGAATCTCTGTTGGGAGAACATGACGAATCAACGAGGGCTTTTGGACTCATTTCGCTGATCGTGTTTTCCAGCTGTTTGATGGTCTGCTCCAGGCTGTCCAGTGTTCTGTAGGTGTTATGTCTAATCTCATCAGTTCTGGAAATGGAAGATGTGTTCTCCAGACAGAGCTGCCCCTGTCTCCTGAGCCTGCTTTGGGGGGTGTCTTCGGGTGGAGAAGACTGAGTGATTTCGAATCGCTTGGCTTCTTTGTGCTGCTTCAAAGTGCCGTCCTCTTCCTCCTCTTCGTAGACCACCACCTGCAAGGTCTTCTTCCCCGTCTTGGTTCCTGTGCGAATTGCCTGAGTGAGAGCGGCGAGTTGCTTTTTAGGGAATTTGAACTTGAACTTTTTCTTGGGGCTTTCCAACTGGTCATATGCCGCATCACACTTGCTTTCTGAACTTGGAGAATCTGCTCGGCCGCTCGTGGGCAGCTCAGCCTTATTCATTCCCTGTCCTCCTGACACTCCGGTGTCTCCTGAGAGGGAGTGTGGCTGCAATCCGCTCTCAGCCTGCAGTCCTGAGCTGGGGCCTGACACCACCTTCTGGAACTTCTGGGAAGTGTTATTCTGGACCACAGTGTCTCCATTTTCCTCCTCTTCCTCCTCTTCTATCTTTTCCTCTGTCATCATTCTCTCTAGTTCCTCATCGCACTCCTCAAATATGGTTGAAAGTCTCTTATATGCAGACCGGATGTCCATGGGTTCGTCAAAAATGATGATGACTGGCTTCTTGTCTAGGCACACGACTGGCTCTTCATTTTCAGCCCCTTCTTGCTGGGAAGTCATCTCTTTTTTGGCATCAATATTCACAGTCTGTACATCTTCTCCCTTCTTGCTCACGATCTCGCGGACCTCCCCGCTGGACAGAACCTGGACCGCAGTTCTGGTAATCATGAAGGCGATGTTGTCTGTGGGTGCACTTTCCTCAGTGGGAGAACTCGGGGTTGATTCTCTGTCCTCATTAGGCTTCCCATTATTAGCATGCCAAGCCCCCTTGGGTCTTAGCACAACTTGGCCAAACTCTGTCACAGGAACCTCTTGATCTTGAGTTTTGGCATCACAAATACTCAATTCAGTTGACCTAGTGGGAGAGAGTAGGTGACATCTGTCTGCATTTTCTTGATCTCGTTGACTCATCTCTTTTGTCTTTTCATAATTCGTCTTCTGGTTCTCAGGGTCAGATGGAGGGCTCTGCAGTCCTGAGATTTTAGGCCCTTTGCTTATTTCATCTTCTAACAAATTGGTGCCAGGGAAACTGGAATTGACCTTAGACACATTTTTCTGGGAATAATTTCTACTGTCTCTAAGTAAACTCTTATTGGGTATGGAATTATCCTTCATTAAGATGTTGGTTTTATAGTCTGATGTTCTTGGGGCATCAAGAATATCTGATGTTCTTGCTGTCAGTTTTATATTCTGATGTTCTTGAGAAACACTATTCTCCACTCCTCTTTCCCACCTGGGACGGTCACTATGTGTAGGAGCCCCTGAGGTGACCTGCGAGGGAGAGTGGAGGAGGGAAATGACATGTGTTAATCAGAAATGGATCCACAAAGGAGGCTAATTAATCTGCACGGTATCGGCTGGAACACGGACAGGGAACTCACCTTGCGGGATTCCATTTGGGGGCCATTTTCATATTCAACATCAGATTTCCGTACGTCTTCGTGGAAAAATTCCAAATTCTGGTAGGATAGTGTAGGACATGTTACTCCACAAAACCACACCCCTTCCCACAGTGGACTATAACTAAATTGTTCCTTTAATTACATTTCCAAAACATGCGGGCCAACCACATTTGTTACACACCGGTCCAAAGCCTATAGCTCTGTTTACCTTGGGCTGTTTTGTTCGCCAACTTCCAAAAATGCCCTGAGTTTGCATAAGATGAAAATCTCAATTAGCAAAATACCTCAAGAAATTCAAATCTGGCGGGGGAGCAATGAAGAGAATAAAGAGACTGATTCTGCAGGAAACGTCCTCTTTTCAACATCTGACAGCGAGCTTGGCAGAAGCGGAAACCAGCATGGGGTGGCCTTGCAGAAAGCACACTATGTCGGCAGGCAGAGTCAACGTCTTCTGCCTGCCACTTCACCGTGTCACTTTAGGCAAGCTCCTCCACTTCTCTGGGCCTCAGTGTTCTTGCTTATAAACTGAGGCACTAGACCAGCAGATGGTTCCTGTCCCTTCCAGCTAGTTATTTCAGTCCTATCAGTTTTGTTTATGGAAAGTGTCCTCCAAGGACATCTGCACTGGTAGGGTGTAGGACTTTGAGACTTAAAAAAACAACATTCTTTTTCAAATGACAGATTGAAATATACTCGCAGTTTGTACTTGCACTTGCCAAGGAAAGTGTCAAAATAGCCTTCAAAGTAATCACACCAAGACGATCAAATCCAAATTCAGTGTGATAATGCTGCTAAAATATCATCTAAACATTTACAAAACAGATATCTGAGGCTAGGATTGAGACTGGCACATCATGATTAAGATTTTATTCTCTATACAGTCTGATGCAGAGCGAAGAGACATCCCGAGGCTCTACCGAGGTTCCGAACAGAAGAGCCCAGCAGGGAGGACCCGGGATGCAGAGGGCTCCCCGGGGAAGCGCGCCCTTCCCCGCATGGCTGTACCAGTAGCCCGGGCCCTGTCAGTGCTCACACTAACCATGCCCTGTCATTTCCAGGGCACTGCTGTCCTTTCTTCTCGTTGCAGAAGCCCCAGAGGAAGAGGTGAGTTTAGTAGGATGGGACATAATCCCAACGAGGTTGTTTGGTTATAGCAACGACAGCGTAACAAAGCACAGTAACCCAGGCCCCCGCCAAAGTCAACCCAGAGCAGTCCGACCACCCTGGTTAAAAATGGAAAGAATGTTCATACAGGTTAAGGGATAATACACAAACCACAGACTCCCTATAAGTCACATGGAAAGATCGCACAAGGTATGAGGTGCATTAGACAGCCAACACCACCAGTTTAACTTCCCCTCACCCCCAGGAGGCCCCCAAACAAGTGCAATGAATGACTCAGCCGCTGTAGTCGCATGACATAATATCTTTTGTGGGATTTTACATTTAGATGATTCAACCATGAATACAACAAGTAAAAGGTTTTAAGAAAAAGAAATGAGGCTTGGGCCCAAGGTTTCAATTCCATCTATGGAGCTAGCACGTTAGGACCTGCGGAAGAATTTATCCTTGAATCAGGGAGGGAACAGCCATGTGATCTAAAAAAGACACCTGCACAGCTGATGTTCTGCTGGTCCAGGAGCTGGGGGTAGACCTGCTCTCTGTTCTGATTGGTCAGGACCCCAGTCACACCCATCATGAAATATTTGAATGCCACCATGTGAGACATGCATTGTAAGACAGACCGAGTAGCAGGAACACTCCAATGGAAGGTCACTAAGATAAAGCTGCCAAGCTTAGGTTTCACATGGCCTACCATTTTGGTCACTGGGCTAGAAAAAATAATGGGTGTATCAAAGCAAGTGCATTAACTTTATTCAGAGTAGCATGGTCACAACTGTCATAGGTAATCTCACAATGATTTCTTAGATAGTCAAGATTGAATAATTAAGCCTCATTAATATCTACTTATGGGCTCTCAGATTTGGATTGTTCAGACAACTGGTGAAGCAGGCTCAATACACATACAGGCAATAAACCAGAATTAGAGACAGAATTATAGGACTACTGCATAAAAGTCAAGAACCAGGCTAATGCTTTCTGATGACAGAAGAAATATTTTAAGAGGTATAGAAAAGGAGATGAGTAGCCCAGGAAGAGGTTAATGACAACAATTGGGGACAAGTCTGAAACCCACCTTGTATATAATACTCAAATACATGTCTGATACTGATATTATGGAGCAGATCAACCTACTCAGTATAATTATCTAGAATAAGCACCTGTGATTAAATCCAGTGTTGGGCACTCAATACAGACCTGCTTATTATTAGCCGATGGACCCCTGATTGAGATAAAAGAGATGATTGGAATATGGGTTTGTAATTGCTGAACAAAACATCTCATGCAAATTTCAAGGCAATTAGCAAAATTCTACAATGAGACAATAATCTTCTCCAGAGGGATCTTCAAGAAGTTCCCAGTTTCCAGTGTTTTAGACAAAAATAGTCCCATTGGCCCAAATATGCCCTATAACTCAAATGCGCTAGGGCCTTCCATGGCCTGGTCTTAATAAGGCCACATAAGGGATTCCAGAGACTGGAAAAACAATATATTTCCAATATGATTGCCATGGATTCAATCCAAATTAGTAGGAGGTTTTCTTCATGAGAAAGATTTATCAACAATAGTCATAACCTCCTGTGAGGTACCGGGAGATCACATGTCGCCTGGTTAATGGCTTCCTGTGGCAGACTCATTGTACACAGGGCTCTCTGCTGGCTGTGAGCCAGGGAGGAACAGGCAGGGGGCTGCAGGCACCAGGCTGCGTCTCTTGAAGGGTTGTATTAGAATAACTTCCGATTTCATGACCCTTTAGCTCCTCACTGAGCTTATGTGCACATGGACTGTGGTGCCCACTTGGACTCACAATGCGTTAGCCGAGATGTTTGACTTCATTTAAGGGTAACTAGAACCTCTGAATTCTGAAATATACATTCTGGTGAGACATGTTAGGACTTGAGTTGATCATAATAAACTTTCTATACCAGCGGTTCTCAACCTGTGGGTCGCGACCCCTTTGGGGGTCGAACTACCCTTTCACAGGGGTCGTCTAAGACCGTCGGAAAACACATGTAATTACATATTGTTTTTAAGATTAATCAGTATGCTTTAATGATGTTCAATTTGTAACAATGAAAATACATCCTGCATATCAGATATTTACATTACGATTCATAACAGTAGCAAAATTACAGTTATGAAATAGCAACGAACATAATTTTATGGTTGGGGTTCACCACAACATGAGGAACTGTATTAAAGGGTCGCGGCATTAGGAAGGTTGAGAACCACTGTTCTAGCCTGACATTTAGACAGCGGCTTCATTCAAATAAGATGGCTCTCTTGCCAAAAAATCATAAAAGTTCCAGGTCTACCTTAACATTGAGGTTCAAACACTCACGCTCACAACCTCTCCCTAAAGTACTGAGGTCATGACAATGAACTTTGTTCCAGAGCCTGGACATCTGTTTCGAAGCTATTTGAAGACCACAAAGTGTATTAGCACTAAAACTATACTGAACTTCTTATCCTGCAAGGTCTACTTTGAGAATTTGTAATATAAGAGAATTCTGCTGGGCATCTTTCCACATGTGTGCAGATACATGTGTGTGTTTCCACGAGCATCCACCTGTGGACGCCTCAGGTGTGCAGCTCCGCCCCGAGCTACCTTCCTGGAATCTACGGCTTTCACCGATTTTTAATATCGATGCTTTGGTCCAGGAGATGGGTGAAAAATGAGGAAAAGTGCTACAAACTTGGTTGGTGTTTCTTTTTTTTGTCTGTAAAAGTCATTCTAGAGTAGACAATCTTGAAAGATGTATATTCTTTAGTTTGTGAAGATAATGCCTCAATTCTGCACATACTATTGAACGCTGTGCACAGAAACAGTGCATCTGCTCAGAAAACCTCAGCCAGTTATCTCTGAAGTAAATGCAAAGCGGTGTCTCAGTTCATTGTCTTTTTAAAGGCGAGAGGAAAGGAGAGGGCACCGAAGGACACGCGCAGGAGCGGTTAGTGTCAGCAAGGAAAGAAGGGCGTTCCGCCCGCGTGGCAGAGTGTGATTGCCACGTTACCTTCTTCTCCTTGGGTGAGACTGTGGCCCCCGGCCTAGTGTCTTTAGCGTGACTGTCAGCCCGGGACTGCTCAGCATGACTGTTTGAATTTACATCCATAAAGGAACACTTCTGGAATGCCTACGGAATTAAAATACTGAGGTTAACAGGATTCTGTGTAGCGAGGAGGAAGGAGGAGACAGGCAGGCAGGGAATCAATCTAGAGTGTGGAGACCGCAGCCCTGTCCTGCACGCAGGTCACAGCAGGGCTGGAGGGAAGGCAGCACCTTGAAAACCTGCTCCCTTTCTGGCCTCAGGCCCACAGAGCTGCTGAGAGGGCGGAGCCTGGGGCCAAGGCCTCCTGATTTCTGGGCCACAGCAAGATAAAAGGACACAGCCCTTGCAGCGAACACCCTTTCTTCCTGTCCAGGGTGAACTTGGTTTGCGTATAGTAGGGCTTCTTGTTTTGACCTTTCAAAAATACTGAATATGTAAATGAATTTAAAAAATACAAAACACCCAAGAAGCCATCTTTTCTTTCTTTTTTCTTGATTATTTTTTTTTACCAGACTCAATTTATTTATTGAAGCTATAGAAAAAGGGCACAAAATATTAAAAACCCTTAAACCTTAAATAAAAGTAATGCTTGCCAATTCATTGTCTGAAATAGTCACAGGGACTCCGTGCTCCGAGGTGTTCTGAGGCTCGCTGAGAAAGTGGTGCTGTTCAGCACCATGGCATTCTGAGTGGCCTCGGAACTGCCTGAGGCCTAGACTTGTTTCTGAAAACTGTCCTGGTTTTTGGAGTCACACCAGCTCATGTGAGCACGGAGCCGGGAGAGGAAGCACAGGCTATGTCTGCAGAGCGGCAGGGAGCGGCAGGGTGATGGTGAGAGCAGGAGACACAGTAACCCAAGAACCTAAGTTTTTTGAAATCAGAGGTTTTCAAGATATCACCTGGTTTATAAAAGTACTATTACCCAGGGCTCATCCAGAGAAAATTAAATCTGAATCTCTGGGCTGTAGGACTTAATTTTTTTTTTTTAAATATATTTTATTGATTTTTTACAGAGAGGAAGGGAGAGAGATAGAGAGTCAGAAACATCGATGAGAGAGAAACATCGACCATCTGCCTCCTGCACATCTCCCACTGGGGATGTGCCCGCAACCCAGGTACATGCCCTTGACCGGAATCGAACCTGGGACCTTTCAGTCCGCAGGCCGACGCTCTATCCACTGAGCCAAACCGGTTTGGGCTGGGCTGTAGGACTTTAAAAAAATTTTTCCTATGTAATTCTAACAGATAGCCAGGATTAAAAACTACTTATTTAAATGAATCAGCTCAAATAATTCTTTCATATTTCCTTAATGTCAAGAACTGTCACCTGGAAATAACGGCAGGCAGAAAGAGTAACCCATGCCCTCCCCGGGTGAACGCCTCATCGCTGGTCCAAGTAAGAACGGAGCTGATGCCAGGACTCTCTCCAGCCGGCTTCCCACTCTCTGCGGACTCCCTGCTCCTGCCGCTCCGGCACCCTCCCTGTTGGCCTGGAGCTGCCCAGGGCTCCGCTCACGGAGGCCACTTGCCATCGCTGTTGGGCTGTGAGGCCCTGGACTTCGGAGCCTGTGGTTTCTGACGGTGCCTGTTGACAGGAGCATGAACGTTGCTCCACAGTTACGCTCCTTGTCCTGCCGTGGGGTTGAGGGCTGTCAACCAGAGCCACTGGCCAACTTTCTGAGCAGCGGGTTGGGTCCCTACCCCAGCAGGATGGCTGGGTTTGGTTAAGTTAGGGTTAGAGCAGGTACTCACCCCTAGCACCTAACCAGCAACAATAAAACAAGAAGCCAGATACACCGCTTTTGTAAAGCTTCCAGTTAAAGAAAGCATCAAAGATACTCAGTCCTCGATGGAGGGAAATATTCTCAAGTGATGGACTCTAAGTGGCTAGAACAAATAAATTAATTTTCTTAGGAGGCTAGTGCAGGATTATTCACAAGACTAACACTCTCCACTTCTTGGCTTATTAGTAATTGTTCACCGTGTACTGATTTACAATGACCTAGTGCTCTGTCACCATTTGAATCAAAACAGGCCATGACCCATTCAAACCCTAATTTGGGGCCAGATGCTACAATGAATGGCCCCAGGATCTGCCTACACATCTTAGGACATGCACCAATCCCAGCGACAAGTAGGCTTGACATGCCAGAGTCAACAGCCTGAGGGTCCTCATTGGATAGCTGGGTGATGGATGCCTCCCTGCTCTCAGCTGTTTCATGAGTTGCTAACTTTATAAATCTGGGATTCCTATGAATGAAATTCTCCAGCCATTCTAAAAACCTGTGTGTAATCTGATGGGTGGAGGGGATGTCCCAGTCCAGTCTGTGAGTTTCAGTGAGGCTCGAAAGGCTCGTGCATGTGACCATCAACCAGCAGCCCTGTGTTCCCTATAAAATCCAAGCAGCTCCTCTTTACCTGGCATTACCACAGAAAGCAGAGTAGGACAGCAGCAGTGGAAATGACATGGTTTGAAAGCTCTCCCTATTCCAAATGCAAGATGCAGATCCATGGTTGTGGGCCTGCACACAACCATGGGTACACTGGTGAAAAGTAACATGTTTTGGAGCCCCAAGAGAGTTGTGATCTTACCCTCTGAAGGACAAGATAATCCTATAATAAGCATGGGTCAAAATGAAATACTCTATGAACAGACTTTGGTCTAAGCATTATGCATATGTCTTCAGTTAATCAAGTTCTTAGAACGTACACGCAGGGCAGATTCACTTCCACAATTTGAATGTGGGATCAGTTTTGGGTATAGCCCATGCACCCCATCTTTAATCCTAAGAGGAGACTGTGATAATTAGTTCCAAATAAAAATCTAAAAATAAATAACAATTTCTTAAATAGGCAAGGAAAATGATAAATACGACTACTTGGCTTTTGAGACTATTTGAAAAGATGAGACTGACATTGAATGGGAACCTTGTGTGGAGGGAAGGAGGCCACATGACTCAAGTTCAGTCATTCTAAATATCAAGGCCAAGTTACAGGACCGCGCCTGAAGTAGGGGGTCAGCAGTTCTTACCAGGAGAAACCATGGCCAGTGTTTCTGATTTCCTTTTAAATTATTTTTTAAGGGAAACAGAGACTATCGACACTGAAAGGAAGAAAAGTAAATTCTACCAGCCAGAGCTAGGAAAGCTTGCAATTGATTTTTTGTGTAAACGTCCTGAGTTGTTCCATGGAATGGTCATTCCTTATACACATCCTAAAGGTGTGCTGGGAGCCCAGTGAAGGCCAAGGCCAGCCTTCGCTAGCAAGGCGTCTGGGAGAGATGTAGGCGGGGTCCCTGATGGGAGGAGCAAGGAGCCAGGTCAGCCACCGCATCCACATACCTGGAGCTCTGCCATGATTTTGTCTCCTTCTTCCTCCTCCTCCTCGTCCTTTGAGGAGCAGGTAGTGACCGGGGGTGGGGATGGAGTCCACGCTGAAGCAGGCTCCTCTGCTGGGCACTTTGTGGCTCTAGCCTGCAGGCTTGGTCCGGCATCTTCACTGCTTGCCTGTGGAAGGTTCAAGGCACAGATGTTGGCTGAACACCCCCAGGTCTGGCAAACAGAGGGAGCGACCACAGAGGACCACGTGTTCCCTCACTGCCTACTAAACTGACTTCCTAGCTCTTTAAATTGAGTCGAAGGGCTATTCTGTCCACTTGCATTTAGTTTAGGTTTTTGTTCATGTGAGCTACCATTTTGGTGAATGGATTGAAGAATTATAATAAAATTGTAACTCCTCACCGTTCAGTGCCTGTAAGAAAGGTCCTCCCATACTATCTTCCCTTGAAACTTGAATTTTACATTGAACTTAAAAGATAAAACATGCCATGTGCCGTGCAAGCTAAAGCTCATTAAGCATCTCTGTGTATGGATGCCCTCAACTGTGTTAGCTCATCCCAGTCATCTCTGTAAGGTGGTCTTTCTTTTGCTTCCCTCTGCTACCCTTATTTTCAACCTCACGATGACCTGCTGGGGAAGTAGCTTATGATTTTCATTTCACATCATTGCAGCTAAAAGTCAAGTAAGGATAAAACGAGTGTTGCTGCATCCAGTCCATAACACTGGCAGACGTTTTTCCATCTGTGGTACTTCCTGCCCATCTAGTTTTATTTGATTCTCGGCTTCTCTTCTCTGCCTCAGTGCTTTCTATGTTCTAAATGAGAGCAGACATGACCTTGTCTAAGGGAATCATTTGAACCCAGAGACCAGTTTGCCAGGCCTCGACCCATCTGACCTTAGTGGTGTTCTCCTTCCTGCTGGTGTAGACCACGTCGCCAGTCCTGGTGGTGGTGAGCCCGGATCCTGGCAGGTAGCTCCGTCTCGGGGGCGGGGGAGGAGGAGGTGGGGACTTTCCCCCCAACCTGTCCAAGTCCTGCTCGGAGCTTGGAGAGTCTTCTGTAAGACAGTGTGCCACTGCACAATCATCTCCTTTCAAGATGATGCCCAAAAGTCCAGTGTATTCCTATAGCCTTGATACATTCTCATGAAAAATTTTCTCTATTCTCTCCATCGTGCAAAAATTAATGGTAAAAACCCTGCAGCCCAACTGACTTGAAATCCTGGAAAGACCTTTCACAAGCTAATTAACCCCTCTGCCTTGGATTTCTCGTCTGTTAAGTGAGTATTATAACAAGCGCTTCTCCACTGGGGTGCCCTGAGGATTAAATGACTTACTATGCATAAAGCACAGTGCTTACTGGCTTATGATAAATGTTATGCAACTATTAGCTGTCATTATTAAACAAAAAATCTACTTGGAGAGATGAGCGATCAGAACTAAAGGCAAACGCAGAGCCCTGCATGGTCTCCAAAGCCCCCAACCCCCAGGTGAAAAACAGCCTTCGGAGGAGGCACTGGGCAGGGGTGTGTTAGAGTAGAATATGGCCAAGGAAGGGGCAGAGGGAAACTGGGAAGCACATGGGAACAGAGAACAAAATCACGGGGAAAGTGGGGGCTTTGGTCCTGGTTATGGGCCTGGAGAAGGCTCTCTGCTAAAGAACAGAGACAGCAAATGCAGTAGAGAGAGAATTGTTAGTATTGACATCTACTCAGCCTTCCCCAGGAAAATGCTCAGGAAAACAGCATTGCAAAGCCCTTCCCCAACCTTCCCCACTTAAGCCCTTTACAAACACTGCCCAGCAGTTCTCTAAAGTGGTAGAACCAGAAATTCAGGGTCTGCACTTATAGCTGGGCTTTTCCCAACTCTCTCTAGGGCAGTGATGGCGAACCTATGACACATGTGTCAGAGGTGACACGCAAACTCATTTTTTTGGTTGATTTTTCTTTGTTAAATGGCATTTAAATGTATAAAATAAATATCAAAATATAAATCTTTGTTTTACTAGGGTTGCAAATATCAAAAAATTTCTATATGTGACATGGCACCAGAGTTAAGTTAGGGATTTTCAAAATGCTGACACGCCGAGCTCAAAGGGTTCGCCATCACTGCTCTAGGGACTTGAGTGCTTGTCTTTTCTGAGCAGAGAGACAGAGTTCTTTAGAATGCTTGACACGTTCCCATTTATAGTGGTGACAGACTTGCCCGGCTGGTGGCTCAGTGGTTGAGCATCGACCTATGAACCAGGAGGTTAGGGTTCGATTCCTCGGCAGGGCACATGCCCAGGTTGTGGGCTCAATCGCCAGTGTGGGGTGGGCAGGAGGCAGACAATCAATGATTCTCTCTCACCATTGATGTTTCTCTCTCTCTCCCTCTCCCTTCTTCTCTGAAATCAATAAAAATATATTAAAAAAAATAAAGTTGTGACAGACTCGGGAAATTATGAGGGTGACATGCCAGTGATTATTCATGGTGGACAGTTCCTGTCTCATGCATGAGGGTGCTGGGTTACAGGGCCCCGCAGCTTCGGGGCTGTGCTGGTTCCTATGCCAGCAGCCTGGCCTTGGGATGGTCACCTCCAGGTTGGGTCCCTCTCGCAAGCATGTCAAACTCACAGCCACCGGGCCACATGCCTCAGCATAGGCTGGCCGACCCAGCTCTCTCCTCTCAGGTGTGATGACAGACTCCCTCTTTAAGCAACTTATTCAAGCTCCTCTCGGCCCTCTTCTCACTAGCCCTGACCTTGAACTGCTGAGCCGAGCTTTAGCAAAGAATCCAGTTAGCAAGAATCCCCCATTCTTGATATCTGACAAGTTCTCGCCCCCCACCCTGATATTTAGGTCCTTGGCCTGCCTTTTGCAGGAATCCCGCCTGCTGCACTCAGAGCTGAGTCAGTCTCTCTCTTCTTGGCAATAGTCTTGAATAAAGTCTTCCTTGATGCTTTTTAACATCTGCCTTTGTGAATACTTTTGCTTTACCACTGACTGAGGCCACCATTCCCCAAATTTTCCATTAATATTTTTGGGAGCTATCCATCCTGCCCCATTATATATATATATGTAGGCAGACAATTCACCCAAAAGGAAATACAAATGATTTTTTAAAACCCTTAGCTTAGAATTTTACCCCATCAGTAGACAAAAATAAAAGCAATAACATCCATGACAAATAAAAAAAGAATAATAGAAATCAAAGTTTACAGAGAATGGATGATACCCTCACCCACTTCTAGTGGCCTGGACATTAGTAGACTCTTTTTGACAAGAAACCAGACCATGTGTTAAAAAAGAAAACAACAACAGTAAGAACACTTTAACTGAGTGAAGATACTTTGGGGAGTAATTAAAAATATAATTTATGCAAACTTTTTTTAAATCTGAAAGAATAAAAATCCCAAATGAGGTTAACAAAATGTATTGTTACTATTTTTATTGTACAAGCAGGAGAAGGAACAATTATAATTTATTTATCATTCTAAATATATAACATTTTTCTTTTTTTCACTTTATTTTTATTGTTGGCACTATTACGGATGTCCCCAATATGCCCCCCTTTGCCCACCTCCACCCAACCCGTCCCTCTTTCCTCTGGCCATTGCCACACGGATGTCTGTGTCTATGGGTTATGCATACATGTTCTCCGGCTAATTTCTTCACCTTCTGTCATCCAATTCCTACTCCACACTCCTCTCTACCATCTCATTCGAAATTTATAATTTATTTGTAATTCTAAAACATCAAAGGAGACTCTATGACAAAGATTAATAATAGGGAGAGCTGAGTTAGGAAAGAGAGAGATGCAATGAGGAAGATCATGGTATCCATTAGAAATTCTCCATGGGAACTTTGGGAGGAAGGCCGTGGTGGTGAGAGCAGACCTGCCCTTCCCAGAGCCCTTTCCTCTCTGGTCTGCGTGCCTGCCCCTCCAG